CCCTGGGAACTGCCTCCTCCCCCCCCCCCCTCCCCCTGCCCCCACAGCTGCCCACTTCCTCAGTCTGGCCCTGCCCCCAGGACATCTCAGCTTGCAATCCTAAGGACAAACTAGTGAGCCAAAAAGGGCGGAGGGATGCTAGGAGGCCAGAGGACACTGACATGCCCAGCAGCTGCGCACACTGCAGCCAGGGTGAGATCATGGGCCCACAGTGCCCTGATTTTTCCATCAGCAAGGTGTACACACACTGCCCACAAACCCAGAAACTTCAGCCCCGATGAAGAAAGGGTTGAAATGCCAGCTTCCCTGAAAGGGCGAGGGGGGGGGCGGGGCAGCTGGGAGATGGGCAGGACCCAGTCCCGCAGACACTCAGCAAATGTTAGCACGCTCCCCTAGTCCCCACCTGCCTTCCTCCTTCAGTCCCCAGCACAGCTGTGGGATCAGAACCCCCAGTGAGAGGCGCCAACCTCTGCATGTGCCTCTTGGCACTTGCCCGCATCTCCCATCCCGTCCTCCAACTGAGTCGCCCTAGCAAATGGGATGAGCAAAAGGCTGCCCATCCCTAGGACCAAGCTCTCAAGTAGAGGGGTGTCAACCTAGTCCTACTTAGACCTCAAGTACCATAACCTAGAGCATCATCTGTTCAATAATTGGCTTCATCCTTCTTTGCTGAGGAAACGTCGTAAGAATGAGAGGGGAAATGCAAAAAGACAGGCAAGGGAGACGGCCGTGGGAGCCAGGGAGCCGCAGGTCCACACGCTCCCGCACTGGGCCTCGCCGGCCCTCCGGGATGTTTGCACCCGTGTCTGCGCTTGGGGCCTCTTCGTGATGATTGGGCTGTTTCCAAGGGAAGGGGTGAGCAGGCCGATGGGTGGGAGAGTCTGAGGCTTGATGCCAGTTACTTTTGTGAAAGAGCATGGGGTTGATCGATTCAGAGGGACAAGGAGGGTGAGCCGGCGGGGGTCTCCCGGACCGGATTTGCATCCAGGCTTTCCTGGCGCTGAGTGGCTTGCAGGCCGTGGGAGGCAGCTGGCAGTCCCCTTCACCCCGGGAGACAACCCGCCCAGACACCAGGCTGCTGGGTGTGCGGAGGGAAGGCGAGGTCGGCGCAGCTGCTAACGGCTGCTTTCCCTCGACCAGGCCTGTAGAATCGCAGACACTCGGTTTTGAACAAGCTTGTGGTGGAGGATTGGGGTGTGAGAGTGAGTGAGTGAGTGAGTGGAGCAGACTTTCTTGGAAACTGGAGGAAGGAGATGAGGCTTGAGGAGCTATTACTGATGGGCTGTCGGGGGGTGAAACGCTGTGTCCACGGGCTGACCCAGCTTTCATCCGGACTCTGTCGGGTGCTGGGAGCAGGGCAGGATGTGGGGCTCTGGGGTAGAAAACAGGAGAAAAAACCAGGTAGCAGAGAAAATTCAACAGAGAGGCGAGGTTTCCTGCCGCGGCCTTGCCGGGACCTCACAGCGCCAGCATAAGAGCTTTGCCACAAAGCATTCCCGCCCTGGGGACTTGGCGTGCTTCTCGTCCACCCGGTCTGTCTTTTCTCTCTGGTGTGTCGTACAGACTTCATGGGGAACCCTCAAAAGGAAGCAGGCCAGAGTTGTCCTCACCAAATTGGAAAGGAAGGTGTAACTGTTCCTTTCTTTAGCCAAAGAACCCTTCCCGGAGACACCTCCGAACAAGGACAGCGTGATGGGATTCCTGTCTTTCCTCTCGGGGCAATAATGACATCGTTCGTGATGCAATTCCATTTGTCTTTCTCTTTCCTCTGTATCCTGACTTTCTGTTGTTACCTTGATTTCAAGGCTGTACTCACCTTTTCAGAGAAGTAGATCAGTAACCCTCACGCTGCTGCTGCTGGGGGGCTGGAGACACCACATGACTCTGTGAGCTTAACTGGCCTCGTGTCACCGTGGGTCCGACCGGGCAGACTGCCGGGAAGTTCAGCTGCGTTTGGGGTTTGGATGCGCAGGAGCCGGGCTCTGATGCCTTTGGACTCTCACTTCTAATCTCCACAGACTAGTCCGTAAAATCTCAGCCGGCCTACTAGAGAACTGAAGACGGTGAAATGACTTAAATGCAACAGAGACTTTCAAAGACCATTGGCGCCTCTGCTCACTAGCATCACCCCACCTGGCAGAGGCTTCTCACCTCATTCCTGCAGCTCCAGGCCAGCTCTTCCCTTCAGACCCAGTTGACGCAGAAGGGACCCTCCGTAGGGCACGCTCTCAGAATACCTGCCCCAGAGGGACCCTCCTGGGTGCCCCCAAATCAACTCCCACAAGCCTCCGAGAGCCCCTAATCTCAAGAATATTAGATTGACTATCTCATTTCTTCTCAAAACCTGCAATGTCCCTCAGCCAACAGCCAGCATTTGTTGAATGCCTTCAGCACTCCAGGCCCCAGGCAAGCCCTGTGAGGGTGACCTCATGGCGCCCTCAGAGCCACCCCTTGTACGACGCCCCCTTTACTGATGGGGGTGGTGAGGAAGCTGATGTTCTAACAAAGAAAGAGTAGCATGTGCTAACGAAAATAAAATAGTGGTCTGAAACTGCCACATTTCTAGTGAAATTCTTGTTAAGGAGGCCTTGGCTGAGATAGGATTTTTAATTAACAGCCTCATATTTCTGACCATTGAATGGTACTCCCATCGATTGTGTGCCAAACACTGTGCTAAACACTGCTCATCCATGAGCTTGTTTATCGTGGTCTTCAGAATAACGATGAAGTCAGCAATAGGCATCCATTACAGGGGAGGCAGCTGCCAGGGTCACCCGGCTAGGAGGGAGCGGGCCTTGGACCCAGGTCTCAGCGGCCGGCCTCGGTGTCTCCCAGGTTTAAATGCAGAGGAAGGCCTTGGGATGTCCCCGCACCGTGGCTCCCCGTGCATGGGCCTCGGCAGCAGGTCTGCGTGGAGAGGGCGTCCACAATGGAGGCGAGCAGAGGGGCAGCAGTAGCTTGACTTCGAAGAAAATCGTAGGGGTGTTCCTTTTGATCCAGAATAGAATTTGTTTCAGGTCCCTCTCCAGTGTGCCAACTGGTCTAGTACTGCTGCTGCCACAAACTCCTGAGAGAGAAAAGGA